GTTCAACCCCAAACTATAAGAAATTCATATTGGCTCTAGTTTTAAAATATACTCAGACTCAAACAATGTATCACCATGTTCGCTGCTAGCATAGTGAGTTGAGCCATCAGTCTCTTATGTGGAATAATTCAGCAGCTTCCTAACGCAGTTTCTCAACGCAACACCCAGACTGACCCCTTTCCATCAGAAATCAGCCCTCATATGCTCAAAATGTCTCAACAGGTTCCCATTTCATTCAAAATAAAAAGCAGACTTCTTAAGATGGCTCACAGGTCTTCTGTCATCTGCAACCTCCACCCTTTTCTCTTAACCGCAGCCCCTGCCTCATGCCAAACAAGCTACTCCAATCTCATTGGCTTCCTTGTTTCCAGCATATTCTTGCCTCATTGCTGGTCACATAACTGCTCCCTCTCTACTGAATGGTTTTTCCATAATTACTTGGAAAATCTCTCACCTACTTCGCAACCTTGCTGCACTGTCATCTGTTCAATGATGTTTAACTGATCATCCCTTTTTAAAGTAAAATCTGCCTCCACTCTGAACTCTGGAACACCTCATTGTCCTTTACTTATTTTTCACTTTTTAATAGCCCTTTCTCCTTTCTAAACTCCTATATCATTCACTTGTTTATTATGATTCCTCAATGCACCTAACAGAATATAAGCTATTTAAGGAAAATATGATTGTCTTTTTGTTCACTGATATATTCCAGGCACGTAGAACAGTACCTCAGAAATAGGCACTATGGAAAAATGTATAAGTTAATCTATTTTCTTTTTGGTGAAACTGGGGATTGAACTCAGGCCCTTGCACTTGCCAGGCAAGCGCTTATTTTACTGAGTTATCTCCCCAACCCTGTAACAGTTAATCTTATGTGTTAATTTGACTGGATTAATAGATGCCAGGAGAGGTACATGGGTCCTGGTATCACAGCACTGACCAGTGGTTAATCCACTGATGCTCATAGCAGAAAGTGCCACCAAAAGGCACGGTCCAGTGGGGGAAGTGTGTTACTGAGGGTGCACATGGAGGGCACATTTCCCAGTGATGGCCTTTGCCTGCACTCTGCTTCTCAGCTACCATGGGGTGCGTATCTTGGTTCCATCTCAGCCTCCTGCCATGGTGTTGCTGCCCTGGAGCCAGCCCACCAGGGACTGGAACCTCTAAAAGTACCAGCCAAGTTAAATCTCTTTCTTTTTAAATTGTTTGTGTTGGGTATTTTATTCCAGCCTGAGAAATGATGACTAGTATACACACATATAATAAAGAGATGGGAGAAAATGAACAAAATAAAAATTTTAATAGGGCTTTGTAACTGCCCATATACTAAATACTAGAAATATAAACTAGTCAAAAACAATAATGACAAAAAAGCTTGAATAGACGCTTCTTCCCAAGAGACATACTAATAGCCAATATACACAGGAAAAGGTGCTAAACATAATTAGCTATCATACAAACACAAATCAATATCACAATGAAAATAGCACTTCATATCCACTAAGTTGGCTATAAAAAAAAAATTGGTAGTAACAACTGTTAACAAGAATGCTAGCATTTGCTAGTTCCCTCACAATGAAAACAGCACTTCATATCCTCTAAGGTTGCCATAATAAAAAAAAGGACAATAAGTACTGACAAGGGTGCAGAGAAATGCCAGCTCTCATGCATTATTAGATGTAGTATAAAATGGTACTGCCTCTTTGGAAAAGTTCATTAAAAATTAAACACAGAATTTTAATTTCCATCAGAAATTAAACACAGAATTTAAATTTCCATCAGAAATCAGCCCTCATCTGCTCAAAATGTCTCAGCAGGTTCCCATTTCATTCAAAATAAAAAGCAAACTTCTTAAGATTGCTCTTAAGAAGTTACCCTTACCCCAAAAGTACTAGTCCTATATGTACACTATCCAAAAAATTGAAAACACATTCTCATACAAAAGCATGTTTTTGACTGTTTACATCAGTGTTATAAATAATAACCAGAAGTAGGGGAAACAATTGCCCATTAATTCATAAGCAGATTATCAAAATATGCAAAATTATCCAACCGCAAACAGGGATAAAATACTAATGTGCCCTACAAGATGAATGAACTCGGAAAACATGGTAAATGAAAGAAGACAAACTTGAAGGTCACAGGTAATATGATTCTATTTATATGAAATTTGCAGAACAGAAAAGTCCAAAGACAGACAGCAGATTTGTGCTTGTCCAGAGATGGAGGAAGAAGTGAAGTTACTGATCATGGTGTTTCTTTTGGGATTAACAAAAATAGTTCAGAATTAAACACTGTTGTTGATCACATACCTTTATGAATACAGTAAAAACACCTGAATTACACACTTTTTAGTAGTGAATTGGATAGCATGTGACTTATTTCTCAATCTTTTAGAAAGTCTGTAGCTTATATGTAAAGGACCTGGAATAGATTCACTGTTAGAGAGGATGATATCCAACTGTGAGTTTAACAGAAGTACATCAAGAAGGAAATGGTCCTAGAGTACAAAGTTCTCATGTGAATAAAAAAAAGTGAAATGAGAAATTTCTTTCTGAGAATAAACTAGAAGGAAATTCTAACGTAAATTCTTATACCAGGAAATGTTAATTAGGTGATATAATAGATACCACTTTGACTATAGCTTTGCCTAAGCCATAGAAACATGGCTCAAAAGAAGTTGCTTGCACTGACAAACTCTAAAAGACAGGGGCACAAAACTGTTATAACTAAGCCCATAAAGAATGTTTGCCAAAAAGGAGCACCCAGACACACTGCCTGCAGATGATCTCATTTTGCATAGAGATAGAATTAATGGAGCCAAGACACAGGGACTCTCATACCCTTTGACTATGTTCTGAAACACCAGATGTTCCAACTGAACATTTGGCAAATATTAGAGGGCAGTCGAAATTCTGCTCAGTACTGTTGACTAAATCAATGTGCATATGTTTTGGATATGTAGGTAGCAGAGTCAACATGCTGTCAAGAGAATTTAGGGGGGAAAAAAGAGAATTTAGGGGATCTATTTATACCCTATCTAACCAAACAGCCATTTCCAGCCTGAGGTGGACTCTTGAAACATTTCATCTACAGATGACAGTAAATAGTATTCAGATTCAACAAAGACAATGATTTTTTTCATTCAGAAAAGCACTCAATGGAGAACTAAAACTTGTGTTAGGAGACATGGAGGCATAATTGGGGTCTGAACATCCCAAATGCAGGTCTTTTTAATCAATTGTCTTTACCATGAAGGATTTCAGTGGAAGCCCAGGAAAACATGTCACTTGATGTAGACCTGAATTCTTTTACTTTTTAAAAAAATGTATTTAGTACAGGTTCTCACTCTGCAGCTCAGACTCATAGTGCTCCTCCTGTTTTCAGTCTCCCCAGCACTGGGATTACAAGCATGCACCACCACACCTGGACTCAATTGCCAGCTCATCGCACCGTGGGGGCAGGGCCAGCTCAGCATGCCAGACCAGGGATCAGACCCTGGTCCCTGTGCTTGCCAAAGCAGGTACATAGTCTGCTGTGCTACCTTGCTTCCCCTAGACCTGAATTCTTGATGAGCTACCTCCAAAATGTCTCCCTCTGAGTAGATGAGTGACCCACTGGAACTTAATTCTGGACACTACATTAAAATGCCATTCTTCATATATGCTTCCAGAATGAATGAATGAATGAATGAATGAATGAATGAACTGATACTTCAAGACAATATGGGAGAAGAAGGTTTTTCTTACATAATTCTAATCAGAATCTGTGTGCTCTGCTATAAGCCAGAACCATTTTCAGATGACAAGAAATGTGATTTCTAACTTTATGTTCTATTGTTGTATAATCAAATTTTCATATTAAGAAATAACTTTGGTTCTTGATGAGAGGAAAGATCAAAATAAGCACATTAATTTACTTTTGATCACAGGCATATCCATGTCATTTAGACAGAATCAGGAAGTGGTGAAAATGGAGCATAATTAAATGGATCTTGACAAATTTAATTTTTCCACAATGGCAAAGTTTAAGGTTCTTTTATTACAGATCAGCATTAATCATTCAACCAAAACATGACCACTTGAATGTAGAAACAGGCTCAAAATGCTGTAAGAAATATCCTTCTCCAACCTGGCATAACATTAATATGCCACAACACTACCTCAGGATCACATGGGTCATTATTGTAAAACTGTTCATTGTTTGCTCAGGATACTAGAAAATGACATTTGCTCAGGCTTTTTATTCTAACTACTTAACTTTTATTTCATTTATCTCTACATTTATTCAAAATCTCATATATATCACTTATAAATGAAATACATATTATTAAATATTTTAATATAAGTATATACACACACTCATATATCTATTCTGAGACCCTTGCAAATTGTTGTTTTCTATCTGTCATGGAACTAGGAAAGGAAAACCTCACAGAAGAGAAGGTATCTACACTTCAAAATACCTACTTCTGTGAATTTGTAACAAATCCAAATTGCATCTTTTCATACGCTTAAAAGGCAAAAAAAGGTGAATTATATCTTTGTTTACATTTTCTGTACTACTTATGGTAAACAGAAATACAAGTACACTCAAATTTTCTTTCTTGAATTATTAAAAAGTGTATGTTGCTTTAAAAGAAATTGTCAACTCCTTGGGGGGAAATCGCAAGATGAAACTTTTTTCCATCCAGTTTCCACAGAGGAAACCATCTTAATGATTTTATAAATAATGAAAGTATTTTGTTTCAGAAGTGCTTAACAAACAATTATTTCGTTTACTTTTAGAGGCTTCATAAAAGTAAGTTTTCAGCCTACACTCTTCCCAGCAGGTTCCTGTCATTCACTGAAGTCCTTTTACCTGATCCTTTTCCCAGGCAGTGGGGTCCTGTCCGTCCCAGCACACTGGCTCACTGCACTCTCAGAGCGAATATACCGCTGCCGAGGTTCCCAAGGCCCGTCCACAAGAAGCCCATCAGTGCTATCAGCTACTGACCTTACCCTAAACCCATCTGCCTGCAGGCCAGCTGGCTCAGGGTCTCTTGCCAGCCATCCACACACACGTAGTGCTCTGTCGCAGACCGGTGAACACTCAGGAGTGCAGAGGAGTTCACAGTTTTCGAGAGGGTCACTGAGGGGGGAAAAGGGCAAGAAACCCTAATTAAAACATTTCTTGTTTTTTTAGAAAGCATTTCTTGTTATGAAACCAAATAATAACTATACTCTTCTGGTTGGATTACATCTATTCATTCTTATCTAATTGGATGAAGAGCCTTTCGGTGAGTTCCTGCCCCAGGCAGGTCACCGCTCTCAGTGTGATGGTAGACTACCAAAAAGGGAGCGAGACATGCTCTCTGCCAGGTCTCTGAACTGGAGATGCTAGTGAAATAGTCAACTCTTGACTTTCCTTAAGCCAGAATACGGCAGAGGTAGGGTCCACTGTCTTAACTCTGCCCAGGAATTTCCATAACTCATAAGGAGCAAGGTATGACTTTATAGCATCTCTTTGGAGAAAGAATATGGAATTGTAAGTGCGTGAAGAGATGCTAGCTGAGGGTTAATGTGGTAGAAGCACTCATTTCTATTTTACCAAAAAGCAGCCTCTGACTCCGTTTGCCACTAATAACTCACTAAACACTGCAGGTGAACATAGCACATGCAAGTTGTGAGTTGTCCAAATAATTGCAAAAGATAGAAAAAAGAATGGAGTGGAGGAACAAAGCAGTAAAAATGGGGTCAGCAATTAGATGACTTGATTACAAACTGCTTGCTGGCAATACTGTGGGAGATGCCTTTAAATCCTGTCCATAGTAAAGGACTAGCTAAATCGAAGTTGCTTTTTCACTCAGAGCAAAAGCATAGAGCAGATAGTGGAGCCACTTAAAATTCTATTCTAAGAGGTGTCAATCATAATAGAAGAATCACAGAACATTAATGACTGAACCCGAGTGATAGAAAAGTTTTGAAAATCTGTTTAAGAAATGATGCGATTGCACAAATCTGAAGCCCAAAATTTCAACATATAGTACAGATGTTTCAAATAGAGAGGTGGCAAGGGGCTGGGGTTTTCTGCAACTTACAAATAACAGCCATGACTCACCACTGTCAGCTTTATAGCACCAAAGCAAAATAGATGAACTTGGGGAGTAAAATCCATGACGTGATTAAGGGTTCATTTAGCATTCGTGGCCAACAGGCATGGTGGCCAGCAGCTTACCACAGTCCCACTCATCTGAGCTGTCGGAGCAGTCGGCTTCTCCGTCACACCACAGCTCACGTGACACACACTCGTGGTTGGCACATTCCAGTTCGTCGTCTTGGCAAAACGCTGAAGACAGAGAAATGAGAGGTAAGAAGACTGAAGCTTTGCAAAGTACGGTGATGGTCGCTAATGCGTGCACTCTCACTTGCCAGCGGTGTGTGGCCAAAGTATGGGGCCCCTGAGCCCTTCTGCTTGGTAGTGTAGAGTCAGAGAACTTCTACGATCTCACATAATAAATCATTTAATAGATGTCAATTTGTCCAGATATTTAAGCAGAATTACTGTCTTCAAGTGCTTACATTCTCTGCTTTTCACAATTGGATTGAAAAAGAAAAGGGTGTCCAGAGTAGCAGGAACACCAAGCGTTAAAATCTGCATGAGCAAAGCAAGAAGAAGAAGAAGACGTGAGCAGCAAGCAACAGGAGGAAAACAAGCTCTGTTCACACAAGTGGATGTGGTTATTTTTTAATTCTGTACTATTAAATTACTCTCTGAGTCGGACACAATTCTCTCTTGGATTTTTAAAAATTATAGTAAATCTCTTTGCCTACATGGCATCCACTTCCTTTCTTTTTTCAAGTGAAATCTGATTTCATTTGGCACACCACACCTCAGCTCCAGAGGAAGATTGGTTTAAGGATTAGTTTAAGCTGGGCATGGCTTTTTCCAAATTACACTTATGCCTCCCTAAGTACAATTATTAGCCCAAAGGTAAACACCCGAGAGCAGAGCCTGGGACTACAGCTTTGGAGCTGTGCTTTGCAAGACAGTTTCTCCCCACACTCTGCTGACCAGGCCACGATCCTTAGCCAGGGACACCCACAGCCCACAGGAAACAGCATTTTCTTCTAATTGGTTCTCTCTGCATGACGCTCCTTTCTGGAACTCGGCTGTTCCAGGACTGTATCTTTCTAGCCTACACAACAGTTCCAGACTTCTAGCTGTGACAGCTCAAAGCTGACCCGAGTGAATTCCTAGGTGATGTTCCAGTCAGAGGAGCTCACTTGTCTCTCCTAACTACTGGATGTGATCAGGGGAGCTGGTAGCCTCGGTGCTCCTGGCTTTGGACCAGCCAGCCTGAGGTCAAGTAGAAATAAAGGAATCATAAAGTATTGGATTCGGATAGAAAGCCCCAAGAACTCACCCTATACTTTCTTGGCTTGTCATGTGATAATATAAAACATATGGGATACAAATGATAATAAAAATGATAAATATCTCATTGCTAGGGTTTGGCTTTCTGTTACTTGTAAGTGAGTAATTTTAAGAGACATAAATTTTTGTTTGTTTCCAAAGAAGACTATTTATTTAGATTAAAAAATGTTTTTTGAAAAGCACAAAAAAGTAATAATTTTAGCACTGAGAGATCATAATATAAACTTTTTATGAACTTCTGAGCTCTAGGTAGGTACACAGATAGATAGGTAGCTGATAGATAGATGATAGATAGATAGATAGATAGATAGATAGATAGATAGATAGACAGACAGACAGACAGACAGACAGACAGACAGATAGATACATCAATTTCACAAAGGCCCATTAATTAAAGAAAATAGTAAAGGTCCCTAAACTGTGGCTGCTTTGGGAGACGGGGCTTAGAGGGAGATCTTTGTTCACTGGGAGGACAAGTTCAAATGAGACATTGGGACAGTAGACCTTTCCTTTTCTTCTTTTTCTGCATCCAGTCATGAAGTCAACTGGCTCTTTCTACTATGTTCCCCAACATAATTTGTTGCCTCAGTGCAGGCCCAAAGGCAGCAGGTCCCTTGATCATGGATTGAAATCTTCAGAATTGTGGTTCAAAACAGTTGTTTTCTCTTTTTAAGTCAGTTATCTCTGGTATTTTGTTACAATATTGAGAAGCTATTACATCGGCTCAAGATATATAACGAACACAGGAGAATTATTCATTTCTTGTTTAATTTTAGCGTTTGCATATTTTTTTAAGTCTCCCATTTGTAGGTATTTTGGGGTGTTCTAATTTTTGAATGCTCTAACCAATGTTAGAATTTGAGTATCTTCTTGGCATATATCTTTACCAATAGAGGGTTAGTCAAAGGTCTGAAGAAATCAGAAGCTTTCGATACAAATGTATACCTTGTATTCAAAGTGAGATAGTTGGTATTTATAATTTTAAAAATGTTTTGAAAAAATTATGTAATAACATACAGCAGTTTTTTTCATCCGTATTATCAGGACAGTCTGGAAATCCATCACAAATCACTGTGTGCTTCAAACACTGTTTATTGGATGGACACTCCCAAAGATCTCTCTCTTTGCACCCTAGAGACAGAAAGAGAGGTTATTTGCAATGTTCAGCTTAACACAATGGGAAATTTAATCAAGCAATGTAGAAAAATTACAACAAAGGCATCATTTCATTTTTCATAAAAAGTTTTTAGACCCATATATACCATGAATAATACAATTTTCAAAGTAGAAATACTCAATAACCTTTATGCTGCATTATAAATAATACAGTTCCCCTAAGAGCAGATCAAAATCAACATATGGGATAGGAGAAAAATGAAGACACAGCTATATATTAACATTTATCTTTAACTGTTCCTTTTGCTTTCTAAGTCAATTTGCCAACATGTAAGACTTACGTGATGAGTTAAAATGAGTTATGCTTTTATGAAAATGTGCCAAAACCTAAAGATCGAAATGCATATGATCTTAGAATGTGATTTCAGTCTACAAATTTAGAGGCCATCTGGATGTTTAGCGTATGAAGCTCCTTTTATGCTAAATACCTGTAAAACTAGCCTAAGAATAAGGTGCTAAAGCCATTATTTTTGGTCAATGAATTAAGGTTGGAAACTTTATTAATTAGTATGAGAATAGAACACAATTTGGACAAGACCATGACTGGAAGGTCGTATGTTGATCTGTAAGCTGCTTATGTAAGAGTAAGCACTTTGACAGACTTAATAGGTATCACTGGATTGAAATGCAGAAAATTTCATACGTCTGTCAAAGCATACCAAGGGCCAAATATATTCTAATCAGACCCAGTCTTAGCAACTTGGTCAGGCAGGAAGGAAGAGACTGCATGGCATTCATCTGAGTACCCTCTACACTCCAATCTAGAATCATGGTCAAAATACAACAGTCCGAGGACCAGCCAAATAGCTCAGTGGATTAAAGTGCCTCCAAACAGGTGCAGGGACTGGGATTCAATCCCCAGGCCCTCCCCACCCCCCAGGGCACACTGAGATGGCGATTGAGACTGGGCATGGTGGTGAGCGCCTGTAATCCCAGCTCTTGGGAGGCTGTGAACAGGCGGATCACTATGAGTCCGATCTAGTAGTGAGACCCTGAACACCCTGTAGACCCTTCCCTAAGATACACACACACAAATAAAAAAATAGTCCTCCACACACTTGTATTTTGCATGGAACTTCCTTTCATATAAGAACAAAAAGATAATTACTTCAAGGTGAATTCATTGCAAAGCATTAATCAAATAAGACATCTCTTTTAAAATGATATTTCTCAGCTGACCCAGTACAGATGATTCAGAGAAATTTTGTACATGATTAACTCTGGTTTCTTAGAATTCATTATGGTGGAAAAAAATATGCTTGTTTCATAACCCTCATTCAAAACAGTTATCAAAGTAATTCACCAACACAAATATTTGTACTCAGCTAAAATTAGATTTAGAGAATTTTTACCACCCAAAGACATAAGAGATAAATAGAGTCCTCTACTGGATGCACCTCTGGAGTGACCTTAGACAGTGCTCAGAGTTTTCAGCTAGCAGAAAATGCAGACCTCATTGACAAGGCCCTGACAACAATGCTGTCTGGAGAAGGAGCCTGCCGTCTGCTCTCTGAGACCCTGTTCCTGACGAATGGCACAGTCTCCTTACTCCATCAGAGAAAAAGGAAATAAAAAAGATGGTGTACCATTACAGTGCCCGCCCAGCTTCAGGCCTGCCCCATCCACCACAAAACACACAATGTGCTAGTCGAGAGTGACAGAAATGGTGCAAGTCTTTCTGACTATGCACATGGTAGCCCCTCCCCAGACTACAAAGAACTTGGACATTTGCAACGAGCTGATAAAAGACCACAGAAATAAATCTTGGAGTGTGAAGTCTTCTAAGCTGCATCCTCATGAACAATAATAATGATAACATAAGAGGATATTTATTATCTATTATGTAGCCATAATTTAGATACTAATTTTTGTTTTTACCATAACATAAAATTGGCAGTATTATGATCACCATTTTATAAGTGAGAAAACTAAAAATAAAAGAAATTAAATAATTAGCTGCAAATTACAGCACTACAGACACAGGCGGGATCCAGGTGTGAGTCTTTAGTAAATTGAGAGCACACTGCATGCCCAGAGGCAGGAGGGAGGGAAGCAGAGTTAGAGACAGACAGCCGGACTGCAACCCTAGCTGCGAATGTCATTACCTGTGTACCTTTAAGTCAGTTACTTAACCCTTCTCAACCTCAGTTCTGATATTTGTAATATAGTAATAACAATACCTGCCACATAGGGTTGTTACAAGCACTAAGTAGTTTATTTCACAAGCATTCATTTACTATTTTTTTAATGTATTTGGTACAGGGTCTCACTATGTAGCTCTGACTCCTAGTGATCCTCCTGTTTTCAGCCTCCCTAGAACTGGGGTTACAGGTGTGCGCCACCACACTCCATCTCGTTGGCTGGCTCAGCACACCTGGGGGTGGGACTGGTGCAGCATGTGGTGCCAGCGAGCAAACCCTGGTCCCTGTGCTTGCCTAAGCAGGTGCTTAGTCCACTGAGCTATCTTGCCAGCATCCTTTTTTAAAGAGAATTTTTAAAAATTG